TGATATTTTGTAATATTTTTTTTTCACAAATTAGGCCAAAAAAAGAATAGTTCTGCTTCCGGTTACCCTTCCTACCCTATTTTGACAGCCCCTACCCTCATTTTTTTTTGGGGGGGGGGATGAGAAAATAAACCAAAAACCAGCATTTACTGCCTTTTACCCTTGGATACATGTACACACAGTCTATGATCAACACCAAAAAAATGCCATTTTTTTTACCTACCTACATGTACCTACCCTATTTTCAAATGCCATGTAATCAGAAGCAGAACTATTTTTTTTGGGGGGGGGGGTGGGGGGGGGGGCTTATCCCAGATGTTGAAAATGAACCCAAATTCATAGAGGTGGAACCTATACATGTTCCTTGTAATTACCCAATCTCTCCTTCAATGTTGTTTACTGTAAAGAATAGAAAATATTGTTAAATCTGTAGACAGTATTAGTAGCACCATTGCAAGAAAACAATCAGCTAACGTTTTGGTTCATGTATTGTGGACGTGTGCAAGTGAAAAGTATTGTTCAGCCTCCAAGGTCAAGAACAAAATACTGGACAATGGTGGCAGGAAAGGTTTACACACGACTGCACACGTATACAAGGAAAGCAACAATGGCCAACAGTACTTCTGTTTATTCTGTTACTAAGGTCAGAGGGACCCACCCACATGAACATATGTACGTGTGTGTTTGATACATAGAGCTATATTAAATTACTAGAGCGCTGACCCGTGTGCAAAGTGATGCGTGCTGGGCGCATCCATATTTGTGCACAAACCTATGGAAAACTCAAAATTTTGTACGGCTTTTGTACGGCTATTTGCATATCTTTGTTTGTATTCATAAAAAGGTGCGTTACCGAAGTTGATACGCCCAAAACCGCAACGCACGATCAACAAATGTGCGTTTCATTTTGCTCTGCGCAAACAGCAACGCGTGCGTGTATCCACTGCAGATGCTTTTTGCCGTGTCGTATTTTAACCGTTATGAGGTGCTTTAGTTCTTTGCGTACATGTATGTTCTACTTGCGCGTTGCATTTAGAGTACACTTTTAAAACTCAATCCATCTAATTTCATTGTGTTCTACAAACACGCATGTGAATTCAAAATGTCTGCACCCAGAACGGCTTCAAAGCGTCCGCGTGCCCAAGAATGAGGAGTTAGCGCTCTAGTAATTTAATATACATGTAGCTCTTGCTTTGATATGAAAGCATAATTCTGCATTTTCACACGTACTTGAATTCACATGGAAATGGCAGTGTTCGGTGAACTGACAAACTGGGTCTGAATGGCACCCACTGAGGTTTAAAGTGGAGTTTCCATTACAGAGAAATACATCAGGCATGCAACTTTTCCTCGGATCAGCTGATTTCCTCTTTTTTTCACTTCCAATGTGTGCCATTGAAAATAGAAAAAACACTGTACAAAGTCTTGGAAAGATTTGAATTTCCTTTTTTTTGTGACTTCCCAGTTGCATGCCTGATACATACATGCACAGAACAGGGTTTGCAATGGACATACATTTCCAAATAAACATTTTAATACAAAAGCAACAGTCATTCTCGCTTTTCTTTAAAATGAAGCTGTGGACTGAGGGGTATTGTCATCGCCTATGGCGTCCATCTGTTCATCCGTCTGTGTTTACCATGGACCACTTGCGGGGTACTTGAACAAGGGGAACGGTACTCCTAGTAACGGTCTGGTTCATTAGTAAAATCTTTAGAAAAAGGGTACCCCACTGCCCACAACGAAATCTTTAAAAAAAAAAAGGACAACAATGCACCTACAAAATGTACCCCGGAACTGTTCATCCGCTGGGATGTCTGTCCATCTGGACAGCTTAGTTTCCGGATGATAACTTGAGTTTGAAATGTTGTTTGGGATTGTAACTTCGGTAGGGGGTTGCCCTTAGGAGTAGGCAAGTTGGGATTGGTTTTGAGGTCAAAAGGTCAAAGTCACCGTGGTGAGCTAAACGTTAATGGTTTCCGGATGATAACTTGACTCCGGCTGAGGGGTTTCAACAGCAACGCTGTTATTTTGAGAGATCCCATTTATTGATACTGGCATAAATGTTTTGAAGATGTTGTTTATCGCCCCCCTCCCATCCACACCCCTTTGGGTTTTTTTTTTAATCAACAACCCAGGATCATACATTTTATGTTTGTCATCGGTTGACTCATTTTATTATAATAAAATGTGCAATAAGGTATGTGTGCAAGAGACATAGGGTATGATGTCTGTTTATGCCCACATTTGTTTACATGCACTTACATGTATTACAATACTTGTATTTGCATGTTTCTATACACTAACTCAGCAACAGCCATGTTCTGAGGTGGCACTGCCGTGGCACCAGGCTCGTGTGAGTCGCGCTCAGGTGGTGCGCACGCACTCCGGGCTCCTTCGAACAACACTGTTACCAAAATGCGCACGCGCCTCGTCTTTAAGAACACGTGCGGCATGCGCACGAGCGTGGCACCACCGCAAAAATGGCTTCTAATTTTGTTTGCCGTATTACACTATAGTCATTTTGCCATATTGTGAACAGGTGTTTATACTGTATTTAATTAAATTTAAATACCGGTACCTTTTGTATTTCATTAACTAAATTATGGGGGGGGGGGGGCAAATTGTTCAAAGCTGAGTATGTGTAAGCGAGTGTTAAAAATCCATGGACTGTCTGCATCTGAATTTGATTTTAGTTTTAACAAAGAAATTTGAAAAGTTATATGAACCTGCAACCTCCAGGTTACTCCAACGACTGTGCTATCGAGTCCCATGGTGTTTTGTGTGGGTGTGTGTGTGTTTTGGGGTGTTTGGGTGGTTTTTTTTAAGTTCAAGGGGCACTAATGAGAAGCCATGTCATCATCTCATGCCGCTGAACCATAGTCATACTCATGAAGCTAACATAATGAGATGTACGTACAAACAATGCCCAATCCTACACTAACCCTCAGTGGGTTCATTTTAAAATGCAGAGTCTTGTTTAACCCTAACGTACCTGAATCCATCAAAATCCACACCCCTGTTTCGGGGGATTTCGGCGGATTCAGGATACCTCCATATTGCACAAACTGGGGAATTTTGATGGATTCAGGATTGTAAGCCTAGTGGAACTGCAAGATTTTGATGGATTCAGGATACCTCTATATTGAGCTGTTGGGGGACTTTGGCAGATTCAGGATCTCAACAGATTTACTCCCGCCTAACTGGTGGATTCTGATGGACTCTCTGGCCGCCAACATTTTTTTGCATGGCAAAATTGATGGATTTTGTCGGATTCAGGATACTTTTTAGTAAAAGAGCCCAAGGGGTTAGGGTTAATAAATGGAGCATGGTTAGGGTTAGGAACACTTGGTCGTAAACTGTAGTAGACTATCATTCTGTGGGTATGGAAAATGTTGTTTTCTCCCCACAAAACGATTTGTGCCAATTAGTAATTGTTATGGTTGATAAACAGATATGTTGCCATTCTTCAGGTGATAAACTACATTTGCCACTTCATCAGTTGACAATTCCATTATCAGGTAAAAACAAAACAAAAGAAAGTCATTCTCCATGTACCTGTAATAAGCAAATGTTCATGTCAAGTTACGTTTGACATCCGCACATCCCATCTACATGTATAATTTGTTTATTGAAATTCAGAGGCGGATCTACGGGTGGAGGGGAGGTATGATAAAAATCTCCCCCCCCCCCTTGAGCCTCAAACAAAAGAAAATTCAAAACATTTCAATGTATGCTTACATTACATTTGAAACATGCATTCTCATTGGTTAGGCTCCTCCTGAGTTTTGAAAGAAAAAAAAGCACTCATTTGGCAAGCTCATCACATTCCATGAAATGACACTGCGCATTGGCTGTTTGTGTCTTGTGTGCAAATGTCATCCTTGTACTCATATGATCTGCAAACCTTCAGTTTATTATTTTTTTTGGAGGGGGGTTTAAAACTATGTTTTGCTCTATAACCTGTTCTTAGAAGTCAAAATAATATGCACACAGCTATTTACATGTAATTTGTAGTATTAGTGAAGGTATATTTATAGAAAAATGTCATGGGTTGCTGGGGTTGACGACTTACCTGCAGCATTCCCTCACACATCACAATTTCCTCTGATAATTTGACATTCACAGTTGACTGAGAGTCAACTCAAATGTTGCTCATGTCATGTCATAATTATTGGTGCCGGCAACCAACGACCAAGATAAAACGCCCTGCTTGTTAGTCATACATTCGCATTTTTTTCATGTGATTTTTGGCGTCATAAATGTTGTTGGAATGTACATGTACAACCTGTTCTGTGGTTAGTGGTTTCGTTATTCTTGTTGCTTTAATATCCCATGAGACGTGTGAACATGTACCCCATTTTTTAGCACTGAGGTATTTTTTTTCTTTTTACTGAGATTTTCCAGACTCTGACCAAATCTAATACCGGGCCGTGACACAATGTCACATTCTTTGGATTTTTTCACACAAAATGGGGCTGTTTACAAAAAATGTCCGTCCCATGTACATGTACATGTACAGACATTACATGTAAAAGTTTAACATTAATGCTGGTTTGGCTGTACAGTGTTGTGTCCATCACAGTATAAGTGGAGTCTCTCTTCGCCATTTCCCCACGCTTTCCTCATGCAGTGTTGCCAAACTTCTTTGTTGGCAAACTTCAAATTCATTCAGTTAAATACTGGTACTTTTTCTTGCTGTTGAACCTTTGTGAGCAATTGTCATGAAATTTAGTCCAAAATTCAAAGTAGATTTCAATCTCGTAATGGCACTGGACTAGATGTGTATTAATATTGCACATCAGAGGAAAGAGTTGCACCTAGGCTTCAATTGTTAAATCGTGGTTTATCATTTCAATGGCAGTCACACAGTACAATTTTTGAAAATATAATTTCAGTGTCATGTTTTCAGAAGGCACAAGCGTCACATATTCATATCGTATTCATTTTGTAACATAGTAACCGTTTTGTGGGGTGTGATTCTTTGTTTCTTTCCGCAGAAGGAGCAAGCTTAGGTTTCAAGATCTACATCCTCTTAGTCCTGACCCTCAACGCCACGGGCTACATCTTACTCATCCGCTACACCCGGTCCCAGGCTGGCGCCCTGTACTCCTCCACCACCACCGTGGTCCTCACGGAGGTGTCCAAGCTCCTCATCAGTCTCCTCCTGTTGGTCAAGGAGCATCGCAGCGTGCTGGGCATGCTCAATGATGTCTGGAATGGCGTCTTCATGAACCCTCGCGACACCTTCAAGATGTGCGTGCCGTCCATCATCTACGCTATTCAGAACAACCTGGCGTTCGTGGCGCTCTCCAATCTGGATGCTGCCACGTATCAGGTAAGGAATGAAAGATTCCGATTTCGGGAGAAAATGCTCATTGACACCAGTGTGAAGCTACTTCTGATATTCTCCAAATAATATGGTTAATACAGTGAGTTGACAAAATGTACGTCTAACAACAGCTGTCAGACATTGGGATAATTGACTGGCCTCCTGCTACTAGTAATTTGACCCTTATTTTCAAGGCAATTTCTGTAGGCATTCTAGAATGAATCCAACACTTGAGGTAATCAAATCTTACATGTACTTAATATTTCCAGGGCTGTATTGTCATGACGTTATCGAAGTCCAGGCAAATATTTGAGATTTAGAGTTTAGACTGATGGGTCTCCTACACCCTAGGTCCTCAGCTACCACCTTAGACTGATGGGTCTCCTATACCCTAGGTCCTCCCTCTACTGACACTGCAACCCTACTGTTCCACTTCAGTGGGCACCAAGCTTGCTCTAGGATCCCGTCTACTTGGCATCCTCACAGGATGCAACTTCACACTTCATTGATTTCGCCTTTTGCTACTTAAGTATTCACTTTCTTAGAGTTTAGGCACTCTCCGGAAGACGGTCAGAGCATACTGACCGGAACGTCGAGTTTATACCTCTGGTTCTTTTCAGAACCATTCTCTTAGTTGAGAAATTATTCGCACATGGTGTTTCCGCAAACCTTTCATTATTTAGTATCTCCACCATGCAAAGCCTCAAATCTTACTTAGATTTAGAGTTGAAGCAAATTAGGAACAAATAGTAAATCATCTGTTGTACAGTGTCTCAAAGCATATAGTACCTGTTTTACCTGTTCATGATGTGTACAGCGGTTTCCCATTTTAAAGGCCGAATCCTACTCGATGCCAAACGCAAAGCCCAATGTGAATTTGTGACTTAACAGCAAACATGTCATTGCAATTTCAAAAGAGTTGAACTCATTACAACTCCAGAAAATTTTACTGCAACTGTTTTACCAGTATGCCAAATCTGCATTACATTTGCACAAACTAATTTTAATTAGCCTCCACTGCTTAAAACAACTACATCAGCCAGAGTCCGGCAGTCTCCTGATGATGAGCAGAGCATACTGTTCGAAATGTCAAGTTAAACCAACTGGTTCTTCTCAGAACCACAAAACTCACTAAGTGACATCATTCACATGGTGTTACCGCAAACCTCCCATTCATTGATCATGTCCACCATGCAAACCCTTAAGTCTTACTTAGTTTTTTATTCAACTAAGGCCGTGTCCGAACGGGCTTCCAGAGCTATGGCTACGTCTATTGTCAGCGCGTCCCCGCGTATTTTCAATGGGCGCAGACCTAGACCTAGTTCTAGACAGCTGATTCGGATGCAGCCTAACCCTATTTCTATCTCTCCTCGTCTAAGGTTTCCTACCAGATGAAGGTGATCACCACGGCCATGTTCATGGTCCTCATGCTCAATAAGAGCCTGTCCAAGTTCCAGTGGCTGGCCATCTTGCTGCTGTTCATGGGCGTGGCACTGGTACAGGTGGAGTCGGCGACGGGAACAAAGGCAGGGGAGGCACACTACAACTACCCCGTGGGCTTGCTGTGCATTGTCATCTCGTGTTTATGCTCTGGGTTTGCCGGTGAGGAGCTGTTCCGTCTTTAATCCTAACCGCCCTGAATCCTTCAAAATCCTCTTTGCTAAAGTGGAGGAATTTGGAGGATTGAGGTTACATGGCAAAAAGGCGGTAGGATGCACTTTGTCAAGGTCTCAGGCCAGACCTTGTGTTGTTTTGCTCAGCCATGCATACTATAGGGCTGGATTATGCTTGAAATCCTCCGTACTTCTCCAGGATGTCACTGGCCAAGACTCAACATATTGACAGTCACTGCTGCAGGATTTTGCAGGATTCAGGCAGTGGTCACCCCTCCACACCATATTCAAGAAATAATGGAGGAATTTGCAGGATTGAGGCTATGCTATTTTTCCACGAGGCCAATTGGAGGATTTTGCAGGATTGAGGCTACATCCTAGCAAAAAGGCCTAGGGAGTTAGGGTTAATAACAGTGAGAAAATGGCAGTTGCACATCAGCTGAAGCATTTTCCAATGCTTGATGTTTTTGTTTATTTAAATACAAATGATGGTGTAGTTTAGAACACCTTACTTACACCATTATTATTGTACGAGGGTAACGAAAGTGACAGAATCATAAACATGGAAAACTGCTATGAAAATTACATTTAGCACTCCCAGTTTTTGTTTTTTGGCCAATTTTGTTGATAGTTGGTCCCCTCTGCACTATGCTGTGACAAATGGCTATTGATAACCTTGCTATAAATTGTGGCGTGACCAGCTGAATGGTCAACTAGACTTAGTCCAACCATCATCCACTAGCGTGCATTCGATCGGAGTTAGTTGAACTGTGGTCCTTGATTGAAATTGCCCCTTTTGTTGCACGTTTCCGTGCTAAAGTAAAAATTATCTGACAAACATTCACGACAAATATACATGGTACATGTACATACCATATTGGCTGGAAGCCTTTTTTTGCCAGGCAAATACTTCTTGTACCTAACAATTGTCTGCGCTAAGCACAGTGCCATAATGATTATTTGGCAATTGGCCGGGATAGCCCATGAAAGTCTTTCGCTTTATTTCCAGTGGGGTCCCTTGGTAGAAGATGTGGAAGGAAATTACAGTTTTAGTGGTGGGAGGAAAACCCAGGATGATATCCTAGGGAAAACCCACGGAATCAGGCAGGGACTGAAAACCTAATCCACGAATTCGCCAAGGCAGGATTCGCACCCGGTCACAGCGGTGGAAGGCAAGGAAAGTACCGCTACGCCAACCTGGTCCCCGCCATGAAGTCGGTCCCAGATCTTGTTTTACTACTTTCAAATAATTTTTAAACTGTCTTTCCATTACGTATTATCAGTGAAAACATTGAGTTATTTTTCAATCCAGTTATCCATTTTTCTCTTCTTTTTTTTTACAGGTGTTTATTTTGAGAAAGTTTTAAAAGGTACCAGTACATCGCTATGGATACGGAATGTCCAGATGTACATGTTTGGCATCGTGAGTGGTCTGGTCGCCGTCTTTTCGACAGATAGCGAGGTCATCTTAGAAAAAGGCTTTCTGCATGGCTATAACTATTTAGTGTGGTTAGTAGTTGGTAAGTTTTGAGAGTGGCTTTTTTAATCATTTTTGCACACTTCCATTCGCCTTAAATTTGGAGGAAGTTTTAATCAGCGCAATTTCAATCTTGGTGATCCAGTGGTTAAGATATCTTTCCAAAAATATAAAATGCCACAAATGAAAGATTTATCTCATTTGGAAGCTTATTATCTGTATTGTATTGAAATATAGTTTATTTCTAACAATGTTCAACAAGTCAGCTGTCGCATTGAACTGAAAAATTGATTAAAAAGTACACCAAAAAAAATCAATTTGTCTGAGTACGTCCGACAACATGGTGTTTCAAGATTTGTACTACAGCAAAGATGAATAATTCCTTATTTAAATCATTGTAGTATAAACTAACTGGTTTGTTTCAATATTAGGTTTTGCCCTTCACCGACGTATAAACACTGTATACTCGGTGTGTTACCTCCCGAGTGAAAGTTGGAAAAAATAACTCCGTGAAGGGCAAAACCTAACATTGATTTACACCACCCGACGCAAAATTCCATCTTATGAATAACTGGTGTGTTTCATCAGAATTTTAATCAACTTTTTGATTGTAACTTTTATGGTGCACACTGTTCAACTGTCCAAAAATGAACATCGAACACCGTGGCACTACCCATAAATGTTTTTCTTGAAAGTATGTAAATACTGTAGCACAGCCGGTGTCGGAAGCTACAAACGTATCAGTAGTTAATCCAGTATTGAATATTCAAAGATAAAAATCTCAAAGCGACTTAACGAGTACTGTCTGCTGTTCTTTACAATTACAGTATGGCTAACCAATGTGCTGGCACCGGTAGGCGTTGCACCTGTTGATATGCTGGCATAGCCGTTATTGGTAGTGTCAGCAGTGTCTATTGAAAAAATACAACTGAAACTCCCTACCTACTAGTATATAAATTGCAAATTCAAAGAGACTGTTAATAATTTCTCGTATTTGTTCGTCACTATAGTGACTAGCCCCATAAATGTGGCCAATTTACTGGACTACCTCCGTAAACATAGGCCACACATCCACATGTACAAAAACATGTCGAACATTGTCAAATTTTGATTTTCACATTTAGGCTTAATTTGTAGATTTTTTTGCTTAAGAAACATACTCACCCTCTTTATAGGCTAATCAGAAAGTGCTGCCTTTTTCAGGTGTCTATTTTTCGTGAAATTTCCAGATTTGTTTGCACACATTTGCGTATCAAAATTTCAACATGAAATTTCATGAAAATTAGACATCCGGAAAAGGCAGCACTTTCTGATTAGCCTATAAAGAGGGTGAGTATGCTTCTAAAGCCAAAAAAACTACAAACTAAGCCTAAATGTGAAAATCAAAATTTGAGGAAGTTCGAGTAAATTGGCCACATTTATGGGGCTATATAGTGACTAGCACACATGTAGTTGGACCTAAAAGCTGTTGATACTCTGACACAACCATTATTGGTACTTGTTAATATTGTCGAAAGTATTACAACTGAATATATTCATTCCTCATGTTGAAAGATTACAGTGGGTCCACAAACATAATTTGATATAGCATTTGTTCGTTATAGTGATTTTTGGCCACCACTGTTCAGTATACATGTATTTACAAGTTCATACAATTTGGTAACCAATATCTTCAGTATAGCAGCAAAATGTTCATCATGAGCAAAGGCTATAATATAGGAGAGAACACAGAGAGACCTGTTCATAATTTCTATACTGTTACTCTGGAATTACCAGATAATCCTAACCCTCCTCAATCCTCCAAAATCCTCCAAAATCCTTGTGGCGGTTTTGGAGGATTTTGGAGGATTGAGGATGAATGGTGTTTGAAGAAGATGAGGATTTTGGAGGATTGAGGATGAATGCATTTTTGATGCAGGACTGTCTGACGATTTGTAAGGATTGAGGCGTTGGGTATCCTTCATTTGAACATAAGTGCAACATTTTGGAGAATTGAGGATAGTTCCTAGCAAAAAAGGCCCTAGGGGGTTAATAATTATTGGTCATGGATTACAAGCACATAGGAACATTGGTAATTACTCAGAAACACTCCTACAGATTAATTGGAAAAAACCTTACTCAACGTGGAGATACGTGTAGTCCCAAATACCCTGTGAAATCACTGAAGGCGGTTTTAAAAAAGTGTGCCCACAGGCAGACTTTTTTGTTCACCTGCGTTAGCAATGGAATCGAAAACTTTACAAGACATTCAAAATTGTGTATATATGTGTTCCCTCTGTTTTCTTGAAATGTATAGCAGCCACTGAGCTAAACCTTCAACCCTACGTTAGATTTTGGGCAATTTTGTTGCTTCAAATGAAAAGTATGCACAAAGAGCTGAATGACCCATTACCTTTAAATACTGTCTGTAGTAAATACAACTGAATACTTCTATCTTTGTCATGGATGGCAAGCACAGACTCCAACTCATAGATTTTCTCCGTTTTTTTTCCCCTACAGCGATGGCAAGCATAGGCGGGCTCTACACCTCGGTCGTGGTCAAATACACGGACAACATCATCAAGGGCTTCTCCACGGCAGTCTCCATCGTTCTGGCCGCCGTGGGCTCCTTCCTCATATTCCAGAAGACGTTTGGACTCTTATTTGTAATGGGAACGGGGATGGTGATATGCGCGGTGTACTTGTACAGTCTGCCCAAGCCCCCACCTCCTAAACCCCTCACGCAACCCAGGGAGACTGTTTAAGTGCAATGCATCATACGCCATGGATAACATTGTATTTGTTTTTGTGTCAGACACTTGTCAGTAGACCTTTGCTTTGTCTGTATTGGTCTGGTTCCAAGAAGGCAAGATCATTGTTCAATACTGAATCCTATTTATAGATAATGGTACCAGTCTACATATATCTGCAAGCTTTAGGCTGCGTATGGATTACTTGGCTGCGGCTTCCTATTTATTCACATGCACTAATAGGAAGCGGCTGCAGCCACTACCCATAGACCTTTGCTTTGTCTGTATTGGTCTGGTTCCAAGAAGGCAAGATCATTGTTCAATACTAAATCCTATTTATAGATAATGGTACCAGTCTACATATATCTGCAAGCTTTAGGCTGCGTATGGACTACTTGGCTGCGGCTTCCTATTTATTCACATGCACTAATAGGAAGCGGCTGCAGCCACTACCCATAGACCTTTGCTTTGTCTGTATTGGTCTGGTTCCAAGAAGGCAAGATCATTGTTCAATACTGAATCCTATTTATAGATAATGGTACCAGTCTACATATATCTACAAGGTTTAGGCTGTGTTTGAATGACTAGGCTACGGCTTCCTATTTATTCACATGCGCTAATAGGAAGCGGCTGAAGCCACTTCCCATAGACATGTGCGTTACTGCTAGCCGTAGCCGAGTAAATCGGACACAGGCTAAGTATGGTCTACTTGACATATATTGAACAGAGCATTAATGGCTGCAGCATATTTAAGACCTAAGTAAAGAGTGTTTATAAAGTATTTTTGAGTGGCATTTCCGTGGTAGTGGTGCATTCACGAAGCCTTTATGGCTTGTGTGTCGTACAAGCTAAAAAAGAGGGAAAATGCTGACTCTTGATAGGGACGAATTTGGGCACGTGATGGCTGTACACTTGTAACAGGCCGAGCAGGCCGGGACGCGGCGCATTGCCACAAATTAAAAGAACAACCAATTAAAACACTCCGTAAACCAGACAGACTTCAGGGGCGCCTCCCAGATTTTAGTTTGATAATACACAATAAATTAAGTAACTATTTCTAGAGACCAATGAAATCACAGTATCTAAGCAGAGGATATAACAAAGGAATTTAACAAATGTATGGAGCGTAAATGCTGTGTTACACGTAGCGAACAGTAGTGTCTTTGTTGGAGGCCCCCTTCAATGGAGAAACCATTGTACACGCTATTGAAGCGATAGAATACCCGGATTGGTTTATCACTCCAAATAATTGTTACAAAACAACTCTGTACAGTTCTCACGATATTGAAATAGTATTTTTTATCGCTAACCGACTTGCACTCCTAAGCTTGGCCAGTACTCCAGTAGGGTGGAAATCGAGAGTCGGGTCTAATTTGTGTTGCAGTATTGTGTAGGTGCTAGTCCAACCTCGTCTCCATGGCTACGATCTCGGTGCGCCATGTTGGTTCCCATCATGCCTTGCGCGATCTTAACCCCTGGTATTCTGTAATTTAAATGTGCTATATTTGGGAGATTTCAATTAGGACTGCAGTCGCTTTCTATTTTGAAGATTAAAATGTTTGGGAATCAATCCTTTCAAAGATGACGTTTCGACGTCGCGTTACTAGAATTTACAATGTGCATACCTCTGTCGTCCCTTTTACAAAACAAGACAAGGGTGTTTTTGACGAAAAACGAGGCTTCCAGACTTTCCGTATTGTAGAGACATCGCACAGTCTTGAAAAAAATGTTCGTGCGTAACGTGATGTGCGAGAGATAACGCGAGCGCATATAGGGCGTGCAACCTTCAATTTACGCGCACATGACCCTCTGAATAGTTAATCAGCGTCGTTTTCGTATTTTACATGGCCAGGGGTTAGTGAAGGAATGCGCGCGCAGCCCATGGGGTCGAGTTTGGTGCTAGTCCTGCTGCCACAGTACTGCGCAGTTAATTTATCACGATTAATTTATCATGATTGGTACTTGTAGGCCAGTGTTGTAGTCAAGTCCATCACAAGTCCAGTCACAAGTAACAGGGGGTGAACGATACCAAAGGAATGCCTTTTGATAATAATTTGGCGCTTATATACTTCTTTATACAGTGGTCTCACAGCGCTTCACAAATAATACCCCTGTTCATCAGGTCATGAGACCAGTTTCTGCAGTCTCTACCTTCACAGGTACCCATGTATACTCCTGGGTGGAGAGAGGCAATTGTAGTAAAGTGTCTTGCCCAAGAACACAAGCACCATGTTCCCCATCAGGATTTGAACCCAGGTACCACATCACGTGAGCCGAACACTGAACTGTGTTTGACCACAGCGCTCCATTCATTTGGATAGCTTGTGACTTAAATTGGGACTGGAGGACTTTTGATAGACGTGTGAGGACTTGCAGGGACTGGTGATGGACTTGACTACATCACTGTCGTACGTCTACAATCCCGGCCAAAATGGTTGGGACACTTCCTGAGCCTGCCACGGTCACCCACTCCCCCGCTCCCCCGGTCAATGTTGTTCTCTCAAGCTGACGGAGCACACACCGCGCAATGAGAGACAACATGGAGCGGGGGCCGGGGGTCGGGGGCCCAGCGAGATTTGGCCAGGATTGTAGGTTGCTGTCAGCTCCTTGTTCAAATGAAGTAATGTTTACCCATCAGGTTTGGTTTTTGGGTTGCATAGCTGATTGAGCTGGGGACTGAGGCTCATAATGAATATGTAGGATTGCTTTTTACCAAACAGCTTTCTTGGGGAAAAGACATTGGTTCTATTGGGTTTTGTTATGATCGGAATTACACGTACCTGAGCTCTCACACCCTAGGAACTTTACTAAGAACTTTTCTTAATCATCATTTTCGCCAGTGTGCAGGAAAACACACACAAAACATTTTCTTTGTACTTCCAAAAACGGTATCAATCTTGAAAGTTGCATGCCTCGTGCTCTGCAAAAAAATAAGATTTTGTTTTTTACTTCTTACAAATTTCAATGTGTTCGTCCTTTCATAAAAAAAAATAAACAACTTCTTTATTCTAATAAATGTAGTTTGCGCCGAACTTGCTCATAGATTGGGGCAGTATCACTTAAAGTGAAAATGCATACTCTTTGTTTTACTTACTGTCGTTGCCGTTATTTACCAACGGCTTTGGTTCTGCTGTACTGTGCACTGCAGGGTAATCTTTTGCTTGTATGTAATTCATTTTTATTCACAAATTTGTCGACAGGTATTTACAAAAAAGGGTACGTGTATTTACAAAAAAGGTATTTACTGGTATATTGGGACATTTAGTTAATGTGCTTTACTTGTACATGGGCTGATTTAGGTACAAACCATTTGCAAAATTAGTAGTTAAATTGAAGGGACATGGTACTTTTTCATTGTATTTATCTGGGTTTTTTTCTGATTTAACCATAGCATTGCCAATTTCTAAAAAAAAAAAAAAAAAAGTTGAACGCCATCAAATTGAATGATATTTTGTACCTTAAAAGGTACCACTATTTACTTGTGTAATTTAAAACTAAATATATATATCAGAAAAATAAGCTCCTGTAAAACAGCACTGACATTGTAACATTTTTCTCTTAAGAATGGAAAGTATTCAGAAATTGTCAGGGTGGGGTTGGTGCCTTGAGTTTAAGGGGGAAAATAGCCGACTAAAAAAAAAGAAAAAAGAAAAATCAAACTTAATTCTTCATTCGACCATGCATGCTGTGCTAAATTGTGAAATCTGAAACCAGTTTCACAAAGATGCTAAGTGATTTTGACAAGAGGGGGATAGAGATAAATCAGAGCATCCCGTTGTCCAACGGAGCTCCGTAACCAACGTCTGATATATGTGAGCATGCAAATTTTATGCAACCACGCGCCCCAGCCAATCGGAGTAGACTTTAGAAATTGTGTCGTCAGTTCTAGTCAGAAATGTGGACTAAGCTTGGCTGCCATGTTTTTGTAATACAACAACAGGTTACCGAAGACCAGATAAAGAAGGCGCCTGCTGAATGGTCAGATCCTGGAGGTCAAGACGCAGTCTTGTTTTGCATAATTAATCACCGAATCTGCTCGCATATCATACAATCACCGAATCTGCTCGCATGAAAAGCGATAACTGCCACAAACCATAGCAGTTATTGGCAGAGGATTTTGGAGGATTGAGGCAGTGGTCACCCTCCACAGACTAAATTCAAGAAATAACGGATGATTTTGGGAGGATTGAGTCTGAATCCATTTTTTTTTCTTGGTGGCAATTGGAGGATTTTGCAGGATTGAGGTTGCATCCTAGCCAGAGGGCCGAGGGGGTTAGGGTTATAGAGGCTGAACAAAACCAGTGTTATGCACTGTATAGCAATTGACAGCATGGAATATACCTGGCCGAAAACAGTACTTATCTAAGCAGATTTAGCAAGGGACTCTGTGAAATTGGCCTTAATGATTCCCCCTTTGATTTTTGCTTTGTTTTTCTCAACTTCCCTTATTATATTGACATATTTACACAGTTGACACCATAAGTTGTGAGTTCTTTTTGCATGAATAGGATTGTGTGCATTAAAAAAATGTCACATGTTATGTAATTTTAAGTAGACGTCACAGTTTGTTTAATTTTCATCTTTTAAATGATGTATTTGAAAAATTTAGAGTGTCGCTCTGTACTTAATTGGTAGGGAGCATGTAAAAAATTGTGTGAAAATAAGCAATTCCGTACTTTTTTTTCGTGTAAATGTCTTAAACTGTTTTTCTTTTGTGAACTTTTAGTAGATCTGTTTATTGGTGAAATAAAGGTTCATTTGTTTTGTTTTATAAAATTCCATTAGTTTTATTTATTGATTTCATTCAGAGCTACCGTTTGTTACTCATGTGAACAGATGTCACCGATTGCATAAAGAAAATGGGGGAAAAAATGTAATTTGGCCAATACTGATTCCCATCTGTGTCCAAACATTGTAAGGGGCGATCCAAAATCAACTATATTTACGGGGGTGGGGGTATTTACTGTATGAAGAATACTGGAAATGCCCTTGCTCTACCCGATCCTCCAAATCACTTCAGTATTTGTAAAAAGATTAAGTGCGCAGCTCTCCAATATCTGGGTAGTACACTGCAAGAACTGCCAAAGGTATTGACAGAAAGCTTGGCCATTCTGTGAGGAAACTTAAATTTGGTCAACAAACAATGAGACCAAAGTAAACAAGCCTGTCATGTCTGTGGTAAAATAACTTGGCTGGTTAGTCAAAGAACCTCCAATGCACTTCAGCTGGAGTGCATTGGCATGCACAATTGACTTGCAATCCCCCCGCTGGCGGGTTTTTTTGACAATTTTTTTTTTGTCAGCAATGATTTTAATAAAAGTTTATATAGAGTTCTTCTGGCATCAATTCCACCAAAGAAAACCCGCTCAACAACCATTCCAATGCGCCGTGATAATCAGATTTGAAGAGCGCCCCCATTTAGAAGAATGGTACCCAAAAAACTGTAAAAGATGAGTGTTTTCTGAAACTGAAATATGTAATGAAAAAACAATGATTGGCTCTAAAGTACGCCCAAAGATAGTTTTAAAGAGCTTGGCTTTCTTATTTCTTAAAGGTGGTAAATCACAACAGGAACAGTAGCAATATAAGGCTGCTGTGATTATTCTTGTACAGAATGTTCTTGATAATTTCGATTATTAAACGTCATACCAAATCGTGGGGCGGGATGACCAAAACAAATTGGTACACATTTTAAATAACACCAACTACATGATCGAAATTAAGACGTCGGAATAAAAACATCAACTACACGTTCAAAATGAAAATCACCAACTACACGTTCCAAACCAAAAGCATCAACTACTCGTTCGAAATAAGAACATGAACTACACGTTCGAAATAAAAACATCAACTACACGTTCGAAATAAAAACATTTTTAATTGTTAACGTGTAGTTGGTGTTTTTATTTTAAACGTGTAGTTGGTGTTTGTATTTTTAACGTGTAGTTGGTGTTTTTTATTTCGAACGTGTAGTTCATGTTTTTATTTCGAACGTGTAGTTGATGCTTTTTATTTCGAAAATGTAGTTCATGATTTTATTTCGAACGTGTAGTTTAGCTTGTGATACGTGCATGGTTGCTTTTTTTCAGACAATTTTGTAGTTTGGTTTAATCTTTTCTGCCACCCGTCCTCACGACCCGGCTGAGATTTATTTTTAACGATAGGCTTACCACACATCGCTGTTATACATCTATAAAGAATTACGTGGAGGGCGCTTTACATGCAATAATAAAGTCAAAACAACTCAGTATAATATTGAGCGAGTCTCAGCTGTATTACACTTTCGTAGCTATAACTTAAAATCCGTAGGTCATCAGTTCAATCACACAGGTTGTGATTTACCTTTTTTCAAAGGAATTAGTCATTTGGAACTTTTTTTCGTGCTATTTTTGGGGTTTGGAGGATTTCTTTTCAAGGGAAAATAAAGTCCGAGAACCTTACTTGCAACGTACTCTACGTGCTTCGATATACGCCCATATAGAATGTGCGGTATGGAAAAAAACTGGGACGGAAACCAGTCTAGTTTGACGCCTCTAGTCGGGTGCGAGTCATTGTAGATATTGGGTTCTTTCCAAATCCAAATGTCTATAGTTTGATCTCATTTTACCACTTGTGCCCAGTGTAAGCAAAACTTTTTTTCTGAGAAATCCAGTTGACTTTTCC